GCCCCACGTCGCAGCAGTAGCCCACCTGGGACGAGGTCACCCCGTCGAATCCGCCCCCGGCTATCAGCTCAGATACGGCCTTCAGTAACGGCCTTTTGTACGACAGGGTGGGGGAAGGGAGAGGAATTTGGATGAAGGGGTTGGGGCTGTTTTTAGCATCAGCATCAACTTCAACCTCAATCGCAGAACCTTTAAAACCCTGAGCCCGCCTTTCCCCCCACCCAGGCGGGTTTGGGTGGGGCGGTAAAAGCCGTTACATCACATACATACCGACACACGCACATACACGTACAGTCGGCTTCAGACACGGCAAATATGCTAGGGTGCGACATAACGTCCATGGAAGGAGGTTCCCAGATCGATTCCGGCAAAGGACGGTATAATTATCCTTCAACTGAAAGAGGATGCGTGGAGAAGCCTCCCTTTGCTGCTGATGCTGATAACAGACCCAGTTGTGGTAATCTGCCGGTCGACAAGAAGTGGAGTTGGAGCCGCTGCTGATCTAGGGGCAAATTTCTCTGAATGCTTACTCGGGAAAGTCATTATTGTGACTGGACAGACGTCGACAAAACTGGGAACCTGGAAAGTCAATAAACTGTGACTTAGGGTTTGATGGGCCAATGTCGTGGGTGATGTGGGTGATGTGGTTGATGAGGGGGATGAGGGTGGCCCGAGGTCGAGTGGATCGGGGAAGGGGAGAAGGGTGAGGTGACTGGCATCAGGCTAGGACATCGGGCCCACGGGGTGAAGGGCTGTACACCCCCCTACTCCACACAATCATACAGACAGACAGACACACAGACATACATACTGCTACAACGGAAAGCGGGAACTCTTCTGCGAGATCGCATCTGAAGTGTGGCCAGCAGCCGCACAAGGAGTCTCATAACCCGGTCATCGATTGTGGACCATCATCCACAATCCACAATCACCAACACAAAACCACGACCCATTGCATTTCAGCCCTTTCCTCCCTCTTGCCCTCCCTCTCCTCCTCCCCTGCCCCCGTTCCTTGGCAGCAGCTTCACTCGCTTTCGGTTCGTCTTTTCCCCTCTCCCCCCTTTTCTCCCCCTTTTCTCCCCCGGCCTTACAAGGTGCCTTTCAGTCCAAGCTTGTAAGCCGCCCAGGAAATGCAGCTAACCTCCTGGGGTTGGAATCCAACCAACCTCTGCCGTACACTCTCAGATAGCAGCCGCTCCAAGAAAGGGTAGGAGCCCTGTACAGCAGCCTGCGCGTTGTCGTACATATGTCCGTATGTCGATCGGCGGGAAGGGGGGGATAGGGTCGAGCGGGGTGAAGTGGTGAGTGTGGTGGGGTGTACGGGGGCTAGGGATGCGATTCAACACCCTGCTTGCGCTTCCGTTACACACGCACATACACATACATACACACACACGCTCCTCCCCTGTCGCTCACCCATTCCCGCTCGCTGAGGCCCAGTACGGCACAGCCGTACAATATATTTGAGATATTCTGCGATTGCGCCTCAGCCGCCAACCTGTACACTTGCGCAGCAAGGGGCGCCAGGAGCCCGCGGTGATCCTACGGCACGAGTACGGCAGGATCACAATCATGGTGTACGGCAACTCAGTAACGAATCGAAAGGAGGGTCACACGAGTATCGACTCTAAGACTGTCGGGGCGGCAGCTAACGCCAACAAACGCCAGTGTAACCCTGCCGCCGCCGCCGCCGCTGGTGGTGGTGTGAGGGCCAGACCGGCTGCGCTGCCAAGCTGATTCAAACAGCACCTCGGCACGGCGGGTATGCATAAGCCCTCCATCCGCCACTGCCCACCCGCCGCCGTCATCACGCCGCCGCTGTGGTCAAACACACCCGTCCGACGCCCACCTCCCATTCGCCCATAAAGGCCATTTCCCCTCCTCCCCCCGTCATTCGTAATCCCCCAGCCTCACCTCACCTCACCTCACCTCCATCTCCACCCCAACTCACCCCACTTCACTTCATTTTGGCCAACAGATCGCCGCCGCCGCCGCAATGTCCCGGGGGCCCCTCAACTCCCCCCCAACCGGCGGATCAGGCGACCAACTGACGGCTGCATCCCTCCCCCCCTCCCCGTCCCTCATTCGCAAACCCACCCGCCCCCTCTCACCCCAACTTCATCACACATCCAAAAAAGGAACCTCACCCTCATCTGCAAAAGCCCGGCAGCCCAAAACGTGTTGGACAGACCCTGCTGATTAATCGTACGAGCGTTACGGCTAAGTAACGCCAACAACGCCGGCGCCAGCCGCCGCCGCGACTGCTCCACGAGCGCTGCCGCCGCAGCCGCCGTCGCCGGGCTAGGGGTCCCGCCGCCCCCGGCCCCGGCCCCGCCCGTTGCCGTCTGCTGCGCAAGCCCCAGGCTATAAAAAGCCAGGGAGGCCCAGTAGTCGCTACTGCCGTACGGCATCTCTGGCCTGATGGATTCCTCCATACGACGTGCTAGTGCCAGTGTGGCTTCGCCGAACAGCCCTCCCTTGACCAGTGACCAGAACAGTAGCACCTGGGACTTGATCTCCAGATTGGCGCCGTAGTCCCCCTGTATGTATGTATGTATGTATGTATGTATGTATGTATGTATGTATGTATGTATGTATGTATGTATGTATGTATGTATGTATGTATGTATGTATGTATGCGAGTGTGAGGCGGTAAGTGCTTTGGGGTTGTTTTGGGGTCCCATGGGTTCTGGTGCGGTGCGGTCGCCAGGCCGCCAGGTCGTCCGGGTGGGAGATGAATGCCGAATGAACCTCACTGAGGAATGGAAACATCGTGGATACATCGAAGGGAGATGATAATATTATATAATATACAATAACAATAATAATAATAATTATTATTTTTAATAATAAAAATATTATTATTATTATTTTTAATAATAAAAATATTATTATTATTATTATATTACTGCTGTTAAGTGCAAAAGCCATAACATGAACTGCTCCATGACGCAAAAAAGAACACCAATTTGGGGGAAGACGAACCACGAATTTGGGGGGTTGAGAGTTGCAGCACCCACCGGCCACACAGCCAACGACCAACGACCAACCACTCACCGCCAGCTTTGGAGCCAGCAATCGGTCCATCCGAGCAGCCAGCACTGCAGCCGACGATCGACCCCCAGCATTCTGCGGTACGAGTACGGCAACTATGTGTACGACAAGAGCTATAGCGCGGACCAACAGTCCGAACATTATACAGATACAGATCAAGTCCCTCGAGCCGGGGCAAGCACTGAGCATCACAGGGCGAAGATGGCGGTAAGTGCCGCCGTGCGAGAAATGGGTTGGAAATTCAGGCAAAGATGTTGTCAGCTGTCCGCTCAGCGGAGCAACTCAGGAGGAGGAGGAGGAGGGGGGGGAGGAGGGGGATGAGGAGGGGGAGGAGGAGAAGGGGGATGAGGAGGGGGATGAGGAGTGGGGGAGGAGGAGGGGGGGGGGGAGAGACGAAACACATTGATGGTGGCAGCATTACAGCGCCTAAGCGCCCTAATGCACTGCTCCCTACCACCACAAACCCATCCACCCGGGTAAACAACCAAACCCTAAGACCCAAACTGCAAACTGGTTATTCAAGAGAGCGCTACAGTACCACCAACACAGTAGGGCCGCACAGGACAGAAAAACACATACGTGCTCACAAACCCTGCGAAACCCGACAGGGGATAAGGGGTTAGTGGCGATCGGCTCACCGGTTCCCGACGGTGCTTCCTCCACTGCTCCAGGGAATCCAGCAAGATACGCGGCGATGGCGGCGGCGCCGCCGCGTTGCGCTCCAGCTCGCCAAGTAACTCGTGTATGGAACGGCGGGCTACGATGACATTGCTGATCTGCTTGTTGGTGGTGTTGGTGGCATTTTCGAAGGCATGTAATGCGCCAGTGGTATCGGCTTCGTGTTCTCTGTTGCCTCGCCCGCCGCCTACTGTTGCATCTGCTGTTTTCGTGCCATCCGTCGCCACCGCCGCTAAGGCCGTTGTCGCTTTTTCGGTAAGGGAAGCTGATAAGGAACCATCGTGGCCTTGTTGAGGTAGTGATGGTGGCGGTGGTCGAGATGAAGGCTGCCCGATGTTTGACTGCAGGAGCCCTGACGGTTCGCTTGTCGGCGGGGCAGCCCGCGCCATCGACAGCGGCGCCGTGCGGCCGGAGCGGCGAGCGCGGTGGGAGAGAATTGAGATAGCAGTGTCATCCAAGGTGGTAAATCGCGGGCTGCGCCTATTGGCGCCCCCGATGGTGGCATCGCCATCGCCATTGCCACCGACAGCGGCTGCATCATTCCTGTCGTCTCCTTGCCCAAGCGTTCTTCCAACACCATTCTTTGTAATTTTCTTTACTTTACTGTTTGCTGCTTGGTTGTCTTCAAGCGCTGTGCCAAAAATCGTGTTGCGAAGCTCCGATGGCGCCTGTGCGATCAAACCTGGTGCGAAACCGATATGCCCTGTGGCCTGAAGAAGTAAAGCTTGTATGCGTGTCAGCTGCCCCTGTTGTGGATGTTGTTGTTGGGCAGGTGTGGCTTCCGCCAACCTCAACAGCAGAGGCAGTGTCGCGCGCCGCATTTGATAGACCGGAATAGCGTCAGCTACCGGACAAGTGCATGGCGAAAAACTCAGCTACCAGCGGCCGTATGGCGCACAAGAACTCGTGGATGTGCAACCGCATAACGGTTAGAACAACGAACCAACGCAACGTCGCAACGTAGCCTGTCTCGCAGACATGCAAAAACGCAAAAGCGCACATAGGGACGGAGTCACAGCGACATAACATGTTGCGTACACTTTCCTGTTCCGGTTGCTTGGACGGGCCTAATCTCAAGTGGATCCTGAGCAAGACATCGCAAAGAGTGGAAAGTGCAAAACCCCTCCAGCCGCCATCCAGGATAGCAACCTCCCCGTCTTGACCTGTGTGCTCACCAGTCAACCGTTCACCGAGCTGCTGCAGGCAAAGCACACAAAGCACACATGCTTCGAAAACGGCTGAAGGAAGTGGAAATCATATTCCAGTTAACAGCTACAGTATGAACTGCAGTACGTACGCCAGTGTCCCGGATAGTCCCTGATCCTGTACCATCGTACGTGCAAATTTACCCCTATAAGTTTTTTTTTTTGTAAAGCTGTACCATTGCATTATTGCTATGCTTGTGCCATCAGCTTGTCGGCTCGGACTGCGGGATTCCCCTCGCTGTCCTGTCTTGCCTGAACCTTGCTAGACTGTTGCTGGCTTCGGTTCTCTTGCTGTGATGTAAGTTAAAGAGGCTGTGTGCATCAAGACATCGTGCTGTCAAGCACATGGGCGCCCGCATGTCAGCAGGAGATACAATACAACATGTGAACAGTGTTACATGGCGCTACAAAAATGTGCTTCGGCATTCGCGCCAAGGACAACGGCGCCAAGCCTGAACAGAACGCTGCATCGTCCATCTGCACGCACGAACCACAAAAACAATGACAAAGCCGGTGCATGACGGGTTTCTTCTCCGGTCACCCCCAAGGCTGCACGGTCCCCCCAGTGCAAAGCGCACAACACATTTCATCCCTCTAAACTACCCCCCGGGGGGTTATACCTCCTCACGAGTGACGAAACGCCATCGGTACATATTTAAGGGGGTAGTTCCCGGAAGAGCGTATACCCGCAGCTGGACCGCTAACAAATCCCCAACAAATGGAAAAGCAAACAAGTCGTGGCATACACCGCAGCGCAATTAAATGTACAACAAACAGAAATAGTGGGTAGCAAAACTCACTGCGCTACAACGTATACTAAACAGACCCTTTCGCTTCATATCTTAGGGAAATAAGCGAAGCGGGGAATGGCTTTTGGCAAAACGAGTATAAAAAGACTTTCACATGGCTCACAAACACTTTCTTCTCTCTGGAAACTGGCGGCGCGGACGCTGGGTCGCTGCCTGGCGACAAAGTGACGGAAAGACAACAACTCCTGGAGGCCTGGTCTGCTGTTCGAATCCTTGATCCTTCACAACGGCCAACAATGTCGTGACGTTCCGTTGATTGATATTGCGTTCGTCGATGACTTCATCACCATTGCCGCAACACGCATAGGTGTGGCCTCATGCGACAGATCGACCGTAATGCAGCAGCAACCCGACAACGGCACACATGAACATTAACATAGACAGGGAAAAACCACTGCACATCAACAAACCAACTTTTCCTTCGCGGTAAAAGATGCAAAAAACACAACACGTACTATATCGTCTTTTTTCAACTCTGCCAACCCGCAACGCCACAAAACAGTATGGCAAATAGAAACTAGAAAGGCGGTGGATTCAGCACATGCATGACGGACAGTCGCCAGGAAAAGGAAGCATCGCAGCAGGCAATAACAGCGTCACCGCCTTCCTCCTCCCCGCCGCGCCTTGGCCCCGTCCCCCGTTTCGTGTCCTCCCCGGGCGCCCATGGGCTTTCCTAGCCATGCGGTCGCACCACCACACCACCACACGACGTCGCACTGGCAGTGGGAGCCCAGCACTCCCCCTGCTGCGCTCAACCCCCCTCTCCGCAGACGGCCTCTACTCGGCAAACCCACACGGGCCCTATCCCCCCACACACGCGCCGCCCTAGCCACCTTATCCTCACATGGCAATGATGCTGACGACGACAACGATGAGGAGAACCGCGTCGGAATGTCTTCCAAACTGTTCCAAAGGGGCACATGCAACCGGTGTCGAAAAGGGTTGACGAAGGAACAAGAGGAGGAACAGGAGGAGGAGGAGGAGAAGGAGGAGGGGGGCCGTAACCAATAATGGCACTTCGGGGCCCTCAGCCCCGAGCTTAGGAGGTTCCGTACATTACGACCCTGGCACAGCCAACAACCCGGCACAGCCACGTTAAAAACACGACCATCCAGACGTCATACATACATACATACATGCATACATAATACACGTGTCCACATTTCAGCCTAACCGCTCTTCCTGTTGCGTTTTTCATCCCAATGCGATTTCCTCTTCCCTAAGACGGATGGATTCATTATCTTACTGCTAAATATATGATATATCGCATATTCAGTAGCACGATACACCAAGCCTTGCACCAAAGGGCAAAGGCATTACCATTTTAAGATCCCAAACTAACTAACCTCGCCTACATTCCGGTGTTGAGACCGCGAATCAGCAAACCCATGCATGTTGCATGTCTACGGGGCGTGTATCCGCCCCATTCGCAAGTCCCTCAGCATCACCGCCTGATCGTCCACCGCCATCAGAACCACCACGCCACACCAGCTTAAGCACGGCAAGAGCCACTCATATGATGACACAAAGGCGTCATAGCGGCGAAAAATTGGCTGCCGTGCGATCGATTGCCGCGGCGTACCTCAATCCCGCCGGATATTTTAAAACTATATCTCTGCATATCGCCACGTTCTTCCCAATACGTTCACATCTCTCCCTCGCATTACTTCGAGCCAAACAACACGCGTTCCTCGGCACCTATTGGGCATGCACCGAAACCATGCCTACGCGCACACACACACATACACGCGTACACACATGTTCATAGCACCCGGCACAAAGGACAAGAGTGCATTACCGTACGATTCAGCCTCAAGGGCCATCTAATTACCTCCTCCACTGCAAAAATACCCCAACATGGCGAGAAGCTGTCCCACAAAATCTCTCTGTTGTTGGATAATTTGAACGGCCAACAACGCCGACTCGCAAGCAAGGCCGCGAAACGACTTTGCCAAGAGGGGCCGAACGGCACACAGGAGGAAGCCTTGCGCCGCCCAAAGTGGGCCGAGCGCGCACGCCCGCGCGCCTCGGAATGAACGAAAAAAATACAGGCCAGCGGGAAAACTGCCCTCTATAGCCCTCCCCACTTCCGCTTTTCTCTCTCCAAGTGCAAATATCTCGCACAAAAGGAAATAATGATATACAGCCCCAAGCGGCGCAGAAACTGCTCCCAGTAAGCAACCCTCGTCTGGAAGACTTCCCTTTCCGAGCCGCCATAGACGCAGCCGCGATACGGTTACGAAATGTGGTCGTGACATCATCAAGGAGGGCTGTGTCCATCCACATACGGCGCCTTCCGTTGATCGATCGACCCATCCATTCATCCAACCCACCCTGTCGCCTTAGTCACCGTGTCGCCTCCTCGCACTCACAGCACTTCACAGCCGCAGTCATCCTCTCCTGATGATGCAGCCGCAGCATCGGCACCGCTAAAATGCGCCGAGGCCGCCTTCATCGCCGCCTTACGCCGCAAGCCGGCCAGCTGGTGCGAGACGGTCTCGCGAGATACACCATCGGCGGCGAAACGCCGGCGAGCAGAGCCGTACTGCTGCTGCTCACCCTGGCCCCGGCCGGCGGAAAAATCCCTGCCAAAGGGGTTAGAGAAGGGCTCCGGCTCCGCATCATCCAGGTCCGGTTGGTGGGAATTCTGATCCTGATAGCTCTGTGCTGCTGGAGCAGTAGTTTCCTCCCCGCTATAGCGGTACTGGGGCTGGGGCTGATGATGCTGTGTCGAGTAAGACCGCTGCCTGCCAGCCACGTCAGGGAACTCCGAGCAGCTAATCGCCCCGCCAGGGAAAGGCACCGCATGATTTGCCACCACCGCACCTACCACGGTTCCAAAGTGCCCGTCGTGCACGGCCATGACCTCCATCTCAGCACATTCAGCAGCAGCGGCTGCGGCTGCGGCTGGGGCTGCTGCAGCCGCGTCATAAACATGAGTGTACTGTTCGTGCAGCTCCGAGGGGGAGCTGGCCTGGCCGCCAAGGCTGCCGTTGCCGGTGGCCGCGCCGTTCAAATCATCGGTTGCTGGCTCAGTAGTAACCGCTGGGCCAGCATTGCTTTGCTCGTCGTCGTCCTCTGACTCAAGCAAGTCGTCCCAAGACCACGACCAAGACCACGCGTTCCAGCTGACCGAGGAGGCGGCGGCTGGTGACGGTGAGGAAGAGGGATCATTGCGGGCCGCTGCACCATGGCATCGTGCGCTGCCTCTGACGTTGGCGGCGTCCCCCGGGACCTCAGGAACGGCTGCAGCCGCTGCCTCCGTCGAAGGAGGCGATGATTGAGCCCCGTCTGTGCAATCAGGCCCGTAGTCCACAGCGCCACATGATGCGGCAGACCAGGACGGTGTGGCGGTGGTAGGAGAGCTGCTTGGCGGCGGCGATGTGGGGGCAGAGGACCTGTTGGCGCGTACTGCAGCCCGGTGGCGGAGTCCTGCCAGCTGGCTACGCAAATTCGCTCGGGCCTCAGGTTGCCCAAAGCCGGCTTGGCCATGAGGGGGAGGACGCCAACTGTAGCCCGATTCTGTGCTGCTACTGCTGCTGCTGCCTGTGCTGCCGCCATCTGCAGCCCCCTTGGCCTGACGTTGCTGTTTCTCCCAGCTACGTTGCATGCGGAAGTTCCAATACCAGTCGTGGAAGTCCCAACCGGAGGAGGAGGCGTGGTTGGGATCGGTCTTGCCTTCCGCACGGCCCAGCAGCATCTCATATGCCTGGGTCAAAGCGATGAAGCGCTCGTGGCCGTCTTCAGATTTGCACACATCCGGATGGAATCTGCAAAAGGGCCACAAGCAACATTCTTACCCAGAAGCCCACACACGGAAAAGCGAGCACGACAAGAGTACGTCTCCGGAATTGCTTTTCTATCTGCGGTCCACAAGTTGCTACTGACACTGTTCCGACGATGTTCAGAGACTCACTGGAGAGCAAGCTTGCGGTATGCCCGCTTGACTTCCTTAACGTCCGCTGCAGGACTAACTCCTAATAGGCTGTGCGGGTTCATGAACGCGGCATGAACCTGCATTGCATATGTGGAATTGGCCCGGGCAAGTAATGTTAGTTGTTGGCCGCGAACTGTGGGGACGTCCATAACCATCTGGGAAGAACATGACGAGGCACGGAAAAGTTCTATAAACGTAACAATCGGCCCGCAATCAACAACCATCAAAGCGACCAACCGCTGTCGAAAGCACGCTACATGCTGACGATGGCACCCCTTTTGCGCCGCCATCAGTAAACTCACTCGAACAAGCAAACGGCCACTTGGACGTCCACCATGTGGTTGCCTGACAGTAGCTGGGGTACTGGTAGTCGAAACGGTGCGCCACTGCAGAGCCCAAAGAAGCACACATTATGGGAGTTACGCAAACATCATTAACCATGTTCGTTGTTACGAGTATTACGAATGTACCCAAGAAGGTCATTCAATAAAGGCCGGGCCCCCCACAAGATAGACGCGTTCGCAATGTGAAAACCACGCACGCTTTGCAGCGATCAAAAGCTTACATGCAATACCAATCTTACCGCCATTACGGCTTCGCCTCCAACACAAGCGGGATGTAAAGCAGATTTCCAGTTCCAGGACTGAAAAATTACAGCGATCGAAGTCCGCCAAAGACGGTCTCAATGAAAGGGGAGACCTCCGAAAAATAGATTTCTCGAAAGGATGATACGCACAAGATATGGCAATATTGTCAAGCGATGTGATTCCAAACAGGGTTTAAAGCAATGCGAGCAATGTTGCTTCTGATTACCCAGCAAGGGAGCAAAGTGCGAGCGGAAGAATTTAAAGTAACATTCCAAGCATATAAGGATGCGAGGGCTGAAGCGAAGTAGGCAAACAAAAGCGCATGTACGACCGTCCGGCGACGCAAGCTCCAATCCCTGCACAGCATTAACGGCATAGCTACATATTAAAGCGAGGACTTCTTCAGTTAAAACTGGATAGCGCAGCTTTGCTCATGACAGATCGCTAAGCTTCCCTTGTTCATAGCTTCTAGCTTGACACATGACAGCGAGGTTGGTCATAAATTCTTCCCGTCACTTGAGCCAAAGTAGGCCTTAAGATTCTGAGCTCTGGCTGAGTATTGCGTTCGTAGGCGACCTAGCGTGTCCTGGTATGTAGCGCGAAGCGCTTTCAAGACTTAGCAAAGGCGAAACAGTAGTTGTAATATGCAAGAAGTACAGAGCAGCAGAAGGTTCCCTGCTGGTGCACCGCGGTGCCTTCGTGCCTAAGCAAATGTTGGTGCAGAGACCCTTTGCGGCCCCCTTCTGAATACACGTCACACCATATTTTATGACCTGCAAGCAGCCCACCTACATTTTGCACATGAAAGTACATGATCTTTAAGCCTTGCAGTGACCGTGCAGTGTTGTGCAGTGTCGGTTATCAATGGTGGGTAGCAGTCAGCGCTGACCAGCCGTGGAAGGCCGTAGGTATGCTGGAAACGGGAAAGGGAAAGCGCGTGGCCAAGTGAAAGCCGATGGCGGAAATGGAGCCGCAAGTGCACAGCCTTGAAGTAAATCGCAGTTACCGATATCCATACAGCAATTTCTTGGGTTGCTAACGAACGTGAACTATAGACCACCGTTTCTGCCCCCTGGTTAAGGAGTGCTAAGTAAAGGGATGCTGTTAAAAGAATATTGATTGCACTGTTCGCCATTCGCATGGCACATGCGTGGCTAAGTAACGGCATGATATTGAACTTTGCTGCGTGCATAATGCTTCGCCTGCTATCTGTCATTAAGTTTCATTCATTCTTGTGGGATGACCTGGTGGAGGCCATGGGGCCAAGGGCGCCTCACGCCTGTACGACCTTGTACGACTTTCTACGATTTCACGCTGAAGAGCGTGTGTTGATGAAGGCGTGATGGGAGAGTGTGGGACCTCATACGCGGGTTGTATAACCGCTGTCAAGACACATAACAGTAGGAAAACGTTCGGCCGCTTGCATATGCAGGGCGTCCAGTCCTAGAGCGGGGTGTGGCCGTTTCAGACCTGCTCCGAAGAAGCAGCTGGCTGGCAACTTGCTCGCCGAGGACATGTCAGTTTGTGACGATTGCATTGTCGTAGACATGAGCCAAGAACCTGTCTGAAAGTAGCAAATGCAAGATTGCATTGGGTCGTGCTGGATGTCGTTAGACGAAAGCCTACGCTGAGATCCGTGGTTTTACCCACCATTGCCCTGGTGTTAGCCACTGTTTGCAATGATGAGGTACGCACATCCGTTGTAGATGGGCCGTCATAACTCTCATGCCTCTTTCGCCTTTTACTAAAGAATTCAGCGAGTATGCTACGCAGGTACAGAGGCTCTGATGAATGGATGCTATGGCGGCACTTGCCCTTTCGATCGCTATGGGGGTCGAACCCACAGCTGGCCCCCCATGGGGCGTACCGAAAAGCAGATGCGCGCATGAGCTCTGTTTTCGGCTTCGTCACCAGGGTCGCTGAGAAAACCCTAACGCCGAACCCCAGCTGAAGCACATGACCAGCGAGTCCGCTTACCGCCTGTAATTCGACATACAGGCATACAAGTATATGCCAGGCACATGCCTTGACGTTACGTGCCAGGCCGCAACCCGGTCAAGCTCCAGGACCATGCGTGAGGAGGCGACCATGCGCGGGCGGCAGGCGGGGGGGAAGCAGGCGGAGGGCCGCAATCTGGATGCCTCCGGAGCTGTTGTTAATGATATACAAAGAACAGCGCGCATGCGCGTGCACACAAACACGGACATGCACTACAATAGGAAGATCGTGTAGCTGGCGGCTGGCAGCGCTGACCTACATCTACTGCGGCTTCTTTCAGCTTTGCTACGATTAGATTGTTTTTTAATAAACCTAATGGTTATCAGGTCAGGACTCAAAAGCCCGATATCAACATGATAGACCTTGAGACGTGCAATGTTGTTTCATCCGTTTTGAAGCTGGATACCCTAGGCTTCCATGGGTTTGACTGGATGCCTGTAAGACTGATGCATGTGACCCATGCATTTAAACCCCAAGGTAAAACCGGGTCAGGTAACCCAATGGTCGTTGCCTTAAACCAGTCGGTACCCCTACCATACCAGTCGGTAAGTGGTAGCTTCGGTACCTGGCCGGTAGGGTAACTGACATAACGATCTAACGACCCAGTAAGGGAATTACTGACCGATGAGGTTACCGGTTGGTAAGGTAACCGACTGGTGAGGTAGCCGACCGGTCAGTTACCGGGTCGTTATCTCGAAATGTCGGTTACCCTACCGAAGCGACCGGTTGGGTTATAGCTATAAGCGACCGGTTGGGTTACCGACCCTTCACCTTTAATGCCATAGGGGGTGCGGTGTGCATGCATCCTGCAGCGCATACTGCCTCTGCTCACGGTGCGTTGGTTACTGTAAAGCCGCGCGGTTTCTCGCTCTATCCTTGGGCTTCCTTGGATCAGCTATGGCTTAGCTCCACCACACTCCGCAACTCCAGCATACCCATGCCAACTGCTCCAGCATTTTCCTTCTGCTCCGTCTCACACACATCTCATACATGCCCTATTCTCCAGTTCGACTGGCAATGGGCTGGGATGCGCACTACCAGGAGGCTATAGATATGCTCAGCCGTTCTTGTTGAGATGGAGGCGGCACACAATGCAACATCCATAGATTTGCATGGGCGCCTAAGCAAGTGTGTATACACCAGATTCATACATCATTCATACAACACCGCCGGCTGCCACTGCTGGCCCTGGCAGCTATCCGTTAAGAGTGTCTAGTCCAAACACGACACCGTTCCTCCACTTGCAGCCCAGTGCCGTACAGCCTCCCCTTTGCGGAATGCTGCGGCGGGGCTGCACCGGGGCCAAAGCCCTTTTCGGCTTTGGAGAACGCGGACTTCCCTAGCTGCCTCTCTTATTTGGGGTCAACGAACGTTATTCAACCATCAATGATCCTAAAAGACTTCGCTGGGCTAACAAAAACCTTAGTGTCAGCTGGGAAGCTGCTGCCTCCCAAATAACAGCAGGCCTCATGAAGGATGTCAGAAGCCGCTGAAGTGCAGCCCGCGCCATCTGCAGCTTGTACTTCAACAACAACAACAATAACAACAACAGCAACCGTTCATGCGCGATTCCGTCCCCGCAGCTCTTAAAAGGCTGAAGCGCGGTGTGTTGAGTTATGTTTGACAGGTCGGCCCTCTGCTGCCGAGGAGGTGAGGGAGGGGGAAAGACGAACCACGAACGAGTGAAGCTGGTGAGGGAGGGCTCCGGTCTATCAGAGGTCTTCACCGACCTGCGGCGGCCGGTGGTGGTGGTGTCAAGACCCGGCTTTGGGGGCGTTGATGGAACCAGTATGAATGTATAAATACAAGGCGCTGGCCCAGGCATATCAGCCTGCGTTGTAATACTGCTGTTGGAGCCTGTTGTTGGATTGAACATTACGTACGATGTACGCCCCAGCTGACGTCCTCTGCTCTCCCCTGCTGTCAAGCTTCAGTAGCGCCCTTGGGCATGGGCGGTCTGCAGTCAGGATAGTGAGTGATGGAATGCCCGACTGGACCGACAAACAGACTCTCTAGGGTGGTGGACGGAGCCACGTCAGGTACATGAAACAAAACACAACAATTATGATAAGAATGACTCCAAATACAGCGCACTGAGAAAGAAATCCATCCACATGCTGTAGGTAGTAAAATCCATTCCCTGAAATAGACCAGGCCCCCGGCCCCCCCCCCCATCCTTATCCCTTCAGAGAACCTCATCCCCAGGTCGACTTAATAAACCCACGCCAGCAAGGTTGAGGCGCAACGCGTACAGGGCTCAGCTTCACACATTTTTCCCACCTGAAGGCAGATGGGGTAAGAAGCCGGAGTCAAGTCCCTCCACCTCGGCCTAACTCTAGGCCCCTTGCCCTCCCAAATCGGTTCCGCCCCGTTGCCTCTCAGAGCTCAGAAGGCCGCACACAAAGCTCCATTTGAGCACCCCCGCCACCGGTTATTACATGGGCGCGCATAATCACCAACCCGCTTACCTGACGTACAGAGGTGGCAGCCGGTCCATCTCCGCGAGGAGATCGCCGTACATCTTGTCGTACAGCTCTGGCATCACCTGATATTGTGGGCGCGGGCGTGAGACACCAGCGTTTCTTCTTATATAATTCCTTCTCGAATTTCGTCGTATTTCCCATTCCAAGGAATGGGACCCATTCCTTGGAGGTACGAATAAAAACCATGCATCGGCCTGGGAAATGGCGACCAGCAGCCGTCAAGTAATGTACGGCATTCGTACCTGACTGCATCGGGGTTTTCGTGATGCCGTAAACGCCGCCGCCATCTGTTCGATCCGCTCCGGTGACAGTTTGTGCGAGCAGAGGAGTTGGAACAGCGGCATCGCCACGTCAGCGTCGAACATGCGCTCGTACCTTTGGACGAGCACACGGCAGAGAGGCCGTAAGACGGGCAGCTGTGAGAGGGGCGGGGGGCGGCAAGGTGGAGGGTATCAGGCTATGCCCACTTCCCTCCCCCCTTTTGTAGCAGCTGATACACAGTACGGCACGTATAACAACTACAAATTCGCGCGAAATGCTTCACCAGTATCTCGGGAGGCTTTTTCAGCGGCCAGCTACAACACCGCTACGCTCATTTCTCCATTCCGTTGCCTTTCCTTTCATTCCCCCGAGCTTTCCAAAATCATCCAGGGTACATTTCTTATTTAACTTTAAGATAAGTTCCTTGTTTAAAGTAACTTCAGTACGTTTGCATAATATTTTTGCTTGCGTTTCGTCCTTCTCCTCTGCTGTACATCCCTCCCGTACATCCGTACTTTCATCCCAACCCGTCTTACATCGCCCTGTTTCTTCCTTTTCCCTGACAGCTGCCACACATACATACCTCGTCTTGCCCATCTTACTAACCTGCCCATATTTCGCTACTTTTTCGCATGTTGTCCTGATAATTGCTGCGGGGTCGTCGTGGCCTGCTACTGTCGTTGCGACATCTCGGTTAGTCTGCAGCCTTGTGTAGCACCGCTGTTTACGTTGCTTCCAAAGTTGAGGTCCGGGCGCATCAGGTCGCACGTACCGCTCGAGCTAGAGACAAAGTTAGCCAGGCTTTACGGTAGCCTTTACCATACCTGTCGATGTACAGCGTGTCTGCGCTTTGCGCTAGGTATCAAGGACAATCTCACGAGACCGGTCGGCGACTACATGACAAAAAAAATGTCGGTAACGTAATAATGGGCTTTACTTTCGGAATCACGGATCGAGGACTTAGGGTTTCGGATTTTGGGCGCCAGCAGTTCGTTTGTGATTCCTCCCCCCCCACACACACCTCCTTCCCCACATTCCTCCCCCCCCCGTCCCCCCTACCGCAGCATTACAAGGGGGTAGTCCCGCGGCTCAGTCAGCCAGTTGTTGAAGTGCCTCCGCAGCCCGAACAGGTCCTCCCCCCTGACGGGACAAGTAGTGGTGGTGGTGGTGGTGGGTGTGTGTAGGGAAACACACAGCTTGTTTGGAGGTGTGGATTTAGAGTCGTAGTCGGGTGTGTGCACCTAAGCGCGCCACTTAATATGTGCGTGGTCGGGGAACAGGCTGTGGGTGACCGCTGTGGGTCTGATGGCGGGCGGGGAAGGGAGGGTGTCGTTTTGGGGTTTCGGTTGGAGGATAGACATGCATACATACATACGTGCGTACATATGTACATACATACATGCATACAGACGCACCTGGCCACATACTCCTCTAGTGAGGGCGGGAAAGTGGCGGCCGAGACTGCCGACAAGATAACGCTGCCACCACCACTGCCACCACTACCACATGTTTTCTGAGCCTGACCTAGGGGGCACGGGGGGGGGGAGAGGAGGAGAGGAGGCGGTGGAATGGGAGGTGGGGTTGGTGGGGAGCCCAAGGTTGGGGACAGATGCCATGACGAACACAAAGACAGCCAACATACAGCTGTCAGCACTCTCTCAGACATCGCTCCGAGCAACAACACCATTTCCTCAGTAGCCCCACAAGTCCCCCCTCTCTTCTCTCATCCCCCTTCCCCTCTAGGACTTCAATTGAACCCCCCAATCCGTAGCTGCATATATGCGTAAGACAAAATCTGGTCGGTGGAGTCGTACCCCATCGTTGCTGGTTGTTGCCATTTTCGCGGCTCAATCAAGCCACCAAAAATTACATTCTCCTAGCAATTTGGTTTCTAGAAACGGTTAACGACACAGCCCCGCTCCGGAACCCGAATTTGCTCAGTTTCCTCTAAAAAAGCAAATCCATAAGCACGCAGATGCAATACGCCCGACCTCTGTGATTGCTTCCACAGCTTGCTCCGAAACCATAAAACCCTAACGTGTAAGCCCACACACCCGGGGATCAGATCATCAAGTCACGCAATCAAGCACGGCAGTAACCAAAACACAAACCTGGTGACACGCGTGACCCCGGCGGTAGTGACTGGCCACAGCGCCAAGTGGGTCGCCGTACAAGTACACAACGTGGCGTGGACGAGCTGCCGTACCATGAGGGTTAGCTCCTGGAGGCAGTTGACAGCGGTCGGCGGTTGTGGGGCTTTCCACCGGAGGAAATTCAGGAGGCCTGTAACCCGGCACGCCGGCAGGGTAAAAGGGGGGGAGGGTTAAAAAAGAGAAAATGTCTCCACCCAATAACGCACAACTGACAACGACTAATACATAAAATCTGGCAATCCTTGTATCTTCTTCACCGGAGTACGCCTCTCCCGGCTCTTACCAGGGACTATGCCGCAGTGTATCTGTGTCAGTTAGGAGGTTGGTGGTCATGCCGTACGCGTTGAGGTGGTTGGACAGCTGCGTACTGCCAACGCCACCTGAAGGGTTTGATGGCCGCGATGATATGTGGGTGTGGGGGAGACGACAACGAGATCACCGATGGGTTCTCTTCTAGGTTTGGTTGTGGTTGGGTATTTCCTATTCCGGTATGGATGGTGGGGTGCCTGGTCACCGATGGGACAGTGCGCAGGATGGGCGCTATGGTCATATCGCCAGGCAGAAAGGTGAAAAAGGAGGGAAAGGAGGTATGTGGAGTTGTTCGTGAGCTATCTTCATGCTATTTATATTCCCAAGGGTATCCGCACGGCATGCACACACCAAAGGATGAAATTTGAACGTCCATGGTAGTCAGTTCTGGACCGGCTTGCTCGAGGATTGTCAACAGCTCTGCAACTGCCGGCGAGATTGGACCTCTTCGTGCGGAGAGAGCGGTGTGCAGCGCGTGCATTTTTGGACACGGTTGCTGATGCTCACCGCAAATTGCAAGTTGTGGCCGCAGATGCGCGGATCAAATGCAATTAGTACGTTGGGGATCGTTGATGCTTACGTTTAAGCGATAACAGCGCGTTCGTTGTCGTTGGGTATATTTTAATAGCCAGTTGAGTTGGTTGTACGGCATGACTGAGAAGGACGCAGGCCTTTTGACAAGATGTAAAATGTCTAAACGGAAAGTTCGATTACGAACCTGCAGCGTAATGAACCTGTAACCCACTTGCGCTAACGTCTAAGACGTACTTGTTATATTAATTTGTGATAGAGCAAGATGGAATTTGAGAATGCAGATGCGATGTTGGAGTATTGCAAAACTACTGGTCGAACTTACGTCGCATTTAATTTGGTGCAAACAACTCGGGAAATTGGCTCTGTCGTGCTTGAACTTTACACCGATATAGCACCAGCAACATGTGCAAATTTCCTAAGACTGATAAAAGCCGGTGGTCAACACACCTACGAGGTGAGGTCGATGGTGGCATGAACATGTGCAGGCATACAACCGGTGCACCTACCTTCACCGCCGTCGCCTTCCTAATCGCTGACATAATCCGCAGCATCCCTCACGACTAGATGTATCACTGCTGCGGCCGCAGACTAGGAGAGTGTTTGACCTGATCCATCCACCCCGCGCCTTCACAAGACCGTCCACTTTATGAACAACAACCCCCAGGCTAAGCGAATCCAACATGCTTACCCAAACTGGCGATGATAAAAACAATGCCCCAATCCCGATACTCCCCTTCATCATCATACGCCGCGCTCACATACACTCCTTCACACACATCTCCAGCTTTCCCCACTTCCTAAGCCCTCCCCCTACCCCCAAACACCTCCAAGTCAACCCCAATAGGACCCTCGAACCCATATCCTACCTTTTCCTCCAACAAAACACAAAACCCAATTCTGCAAACGCGCACCCCACCCTCACCTATTTTCCCCCCTACAGAACTCCCCCATTCACCGGGTCGTCAAGACTGGATGGATCCAGGGAGGGGACGTAGTGGACGGCAGCGGCAAGGGCGACCCGGGCTTCACGCTGCCCGACGAGACGTTTGCCGTCAAGCACGACGACAAGGGCATTCTGGGCATGGCCAACAAAGGCCAACCCCACACCGCCGCCTCGCAGTTCTACATCACCCTCTCGCCGCTGCCTTTCCTGGACGGCAAGCGGGTGGCGTTCGGCAAGGTGCTTACATTGGAAGGTGAGGCGGCGGGGGGTGTTGCAACTGCAAGCGCATAAAGGACGTAGGGCTACTACTACTAGGGATATCATTTCCGCTTACTCACCTGCAAACCGGATTTATCGAAGTGCTTCATACCTACCTACTCACCTGCAAACCGGATTTATCGAAGTGCTTCATACCTACCTACCTACTCACCTGCTCCGTACCTACCTTTCCGATCCGCAAACCATACCTACCTACCTGCCATACTTCTTTAACTAACTACTTATGCTCATCTTATTCGCCTGCTGAACCTTACCTACCTACCTACTTACCTATGCGTCGTACCTACGGATTATATCCGTATCTGTCGTACCTACCAAATAACGAACCTACCTAGCTTGGCACGCATTACTTCCACCTAGCTGTCCGCTCCTTTTCCCTCCCTCACTCCCCCCTCCAACACTCTTTCTTTGGCAGCAGCTTCACTCGTTCATGGTTCGTCTTTTCCCCCTTCCAACCCCCCTTCCAACCCCCCTTCCAACCTCCCTCAGGTTTGGAATGTATAGCCAAACTGGAGAACCTGCAAACCTACATTAACGAGCGACCCGTGCCGGACGTGCTCATCACCAACTGCCGAGTGCTGTACGAGCCGTGATGAGGACATTTGACTGGACCTGGTGGCGCTGCGTTGGCAATTAAGCTATTGGATGGACGTGTTGGGCTATTGAATCAGGCAGCAGCTCGCATGGATGACAAGCTTTGTGGGGTGGGATAGATTGGTGAGGGTCCGTTGATGGCAAGTGGGGGAGGCTGCGTTGTGCGCATGTGGGGAAACTCGGATTGGGCGGGGAGGAGACGCTCTCTTTGTGTAGTGGCTGTGATGGGCTGTAGGAGAGAAGGAACGCCGATGGGACTTAGGGGCTGATCGGTGGATAGGGGGCAGTAGAACGCCTGCGGCCCGAGCAGAGCATCGGTCGTACATGAAAACGACGGCCAGCCTGCACATGAAAATATGGCAAATCAATGTCAATTCTTTTTAAGAAAAAACCTGGGATAGCGACAAGCTGAAAGGCGACGCGTCGTCTGGCGACAGTGTTCTCTTGCATTTCGACTTTGGATACCAAAGCAGCAATGTTTCCAGTCACCTTGCCTCTGTAGAAAGGGAGCAGTTTAGTTTATGATAAGTGCGGAAGTAGGTAAATTACGCGGAAGTAGGTAACGGGAAGTTACCTACTTCCGCGGTCAGTCCAATGCAGCTCGAAACAGCACGCAAAGTCTCGCCATCGTGCTCTCAAGTAAAATGCTTGTAGCTACATACATACTATATTGTAAAATTTAACCAGCTATAAATGAGGTGGCGGAAGCAGCAATGCTTTGTCAGGCATTACTTGCAACCATTACTAATTTGGTTTGAAGCACACCTTTGTCAACCAGGTCCCAGGGGGCCGTATCGAAAGCGGCTGTCTGCATTATCAACACCGAGGTCCATGTCGCAAGGATTGCCGACAAAATCCCCAGCGCCAAAATCCATCTACCCAATGCCCAGCGAGTCCACCTATCGCCTGGTCCTCCAGACACACAACACACGTGGCAGGCACATGCCATGACATAGCATGCCATCCTGTTGTACCCCTGGGGCTGTTTCTGCAGTATTGTTGAGGAAACCAGTATAGCACCGGTTGATCAGCGAGATCAAGCCGGTGCGGGTATATTTTTTGGCGGTTCTGTGGCTGCGGCGCACGGAGGCGGCTGGTGCAGGTGGCACACATCTCCACACATCTCACTCACCACCGGAACTCCTTTTCCGCTCTTAGGGTTACTTTCTTGGTTGATCGGTGGTTGCCCGTCAGGTGGGGGGCAGGTGCTGGTCGTCAGGCGGATCGACTTACACTCCTTGTGTGGGTGAGGTGGGGTTTCTGCGGCCAACGCGCTAACCCGCAGCTTATTACTACACGTATGTACGAATTATTACACGCATGTACGAATTACTACACGCATGTACGAATTACTACACGCATGTACGACACGTTTGTCAGGGAGACTTGGTTCAAAATTGATGGGCCGTTTGGGTCAGACGGCTTCTATAACCTGGATGTATGTTGTTACAGGGTGGTTAACTTCGCCAGCGGCCCCCTTTCCCGGGGCAGTCCCTGCTCTCCCCCTGCACCCTAATCCGCCACCCCATCCGACTTCAGAATGTATTCGTTGGGTTCGGCAACTCACCACCAGCATCCAACCAAATCTAGCGGATCAACGGCGCATCAACTTAGTTCCTGGTCAGCTCGCAAGTTGATATTATCACGTCCTACATCGTCCATATGATGGGGGGCCACCTCCCATTTCAACACTCCTCAAACACCCGAGGAGCCGGCAGGCGGATATGAACCCGGGTCGGCCGGGAGCAGAAGTCAGGCCTTAGCCTCTGCCAGCCGCCTGGATGTAGGTATGATGTGTGATACAGGGGGGTGTATCTTCGCCCGTGGCAGCTACCCTGCGAAACCCTGCCTTCCCCGGTATTTCGGGGCACCCTCATCCAGTCACCCTAGTCAACTTCTCAGTGGATCGCTCAGGTTCCGCACCCACCACCAGCATCCAACGGAATCTGCCGGGTCGACAGCGGCCCAACTCTGTTCCTGGTCGGCTCGCAGGTTAACTTTATCCCAGGTCACCACCGTCCATCAACTAGGGGCGCAATGCCGTCGGAAGAACTTTTGACCCTAACGGGTATCGATCCCGGGATCTCCCGGGGGCAATGGTCGCGCCTTACCAGTGGTGCCAAACCCTAGTATGTATGCATGTATGTATGTATGGCTCCGCTCGCAAATGTAAACGATTCAAATACCTACACGACTACTAAATGACACAAACAACGGCTCACATGTACGACACGTCAAGTGTCGCACAGTCGCTCCTGAGGAAGGGGGCTTTTCCTCATCTCCGCCAGAACTTCGAACTTGAATTTGAAATACGGCTCTAACACTTAGTTTGCTCGTCCAAACCCACGAGCGATTCAGCGCTCTCTCCCCCGTATGCAACACCCGCCTCATAAGGATACCGCGCACAACATCCTTCCCTCCCCTTACCCTCACCCAAATTCCCGAACAGCCAAAACACACACACACACACACACACACACACTCGCACGCACGCGCGCACACACTCGCATGCACGCACGCACGCACACACGTATGCACGCACCCTCCGAATCCCCCTCGTACATGATTCGTAACAACTCCATCTCACCTCACCTCACCTCACCCCAACTCGCCCCTATAGGGGTTGGTTGGGAGGTGCGTGAGATCGGGCTATCGAGGACTGATTCCTCTCTGAACCATCGAGGCCATCTTTCCACCGCCCACCTAACTCCTCCTCCCTCCCTTCTCGCCACGTCTAACCCCGAGCCCCCTCCTAGCCCCCCAGGGCCTACCGACCAGCAACGTCTTCAGTCTGCCAGCCGCGTGAGAGTCTACTAAGATACAACACCGCGACTGGCGTCACATCACGCCTCCTCTTACTCCTCGTCCAAATTTAAACTTTTAACCGACCCAACCAACAAACCGACAAACCAACCCGCCGTCCTTCAGCACACCGGACTCGTAAACTGACACACCACCAGCCGACACACCGGACACGTCAGCGGCATCTCCGCAGCCGCCGCCGTCACGTCGCGTGCGCAGTTACCGCACAGCCGGTGATGGCAAGGTTCAACCACCAGGCTGTAGCATTCCTCCAGGCACACCGCACATTGTGCTAGCGGTAGTAGCGGCGCACGGGAGAACGCGCTCTCCACATAGCCTGCGGAGCGACGGACGAAGAGACCTGGATGGCGTAACGCACAACAGCTGCTGCCGCCGGTGGCGGTGGCGGTGGCGGAGGCGGTGGCGGAGGCAGCTACTGCCGCCGTCGCGGGTTCCGTCGATGACGTTGTTGTCAGTACGGCCAGCAGCTGACCGTCAGGGTCCGGGGCCGGGGCCGGCGGCGCCGCAGACGACGACAGCGATGGTCGTCCGTTCGTACTGGAGGGGCACCTTGTCGTCAGGCATGAGGTTGTACGGCAGGCTCCTGCCACCACTGCACCCGGGCTGGGACGGCCCTGCGGGGTCTGAGGGGCTTGAGGGCCGCAACTGAGACGCCGGAGGCTCTGTCGTACACCTTCGGCGACGAGGCAGGGGCTGACGTTGACGACGCTGGTGGCGGCGGAGGCCGCGGGCAACGTCATGCGCAGCGGCGGCAGTAGCAGCTGTGGTATGTCGCCGCGGCTGCCCCTTCGACTACCCGGCCGCGGCTGAGGGTCAACCCTCGCCTCTGATGACTGTAATTGCTGCTGCGGCGGCGGCGGCGGCGGCGGGGGCGGCGGCGGCGGCGGTGACGATTCAGAGCCGCAGCACCCCTCACCCGCTGTCGGCTGTTCCGACGGCGGCGGTGGCGGCGGCGGCCGTGGCTGTAGTGGCGGCGGTGAGCACGCAAGGCCCTTCAGGCGCAGCGACGGGCCGGTACCTTGCCGATCCCACAGTGCAACCTCCGCCTCCGCGAGCTCGCCTTCCACTTCCAACCCTGCCGCTACTGCCGCTGCTGCTGCTGGAGCTGTGTACGGCCTGGCGGAGACGCCGTCATCGGCGGCAGCGGTGATTACCAGTCCTGAATTTAAATATGGATTTAAATTTGGATTTGGATCCGGCAGGGGTGTTGCTAATTGAGCCTTGACCAGCTGTTCGGGTGATGGGCAGCCAGGGGGGTTCTGCCGCCGTCGGAAGTTCAGAATGACCTGCGGGCCCCGTAATTGGGGGAGGGGGGGGGAGGGAAAGACGAACCACGAACGAGTGAAAGGGGGAGGGGGAATGTACATACAGTCGTATGACGCGACATATATACATGCGATACACACATACATAGGCAGGCGGCTGGCAGAGGTTAAGGCCTGACTTCTGCTCCCGGCCGACCCGGGTTCAAATCCGCCTGCCGGCTCCTCGGGTGTTTGAGGAGTGATGAAATGGGAGGTGGCCCCCCATCTTATGGACGGTGTAGGACGTGATAATATCAACTTGCGAGCTGACCAGGAACTAAGTTGATGCGCCGTTGATCCGCTAGATTTGGTTGGATGCTAGTGGTGAGTTGCCGAACCCAACGAATACATTCTGAAGTCGGATGGGGTGACGGATTAGGGTGCCCCTCTAGCAGGGGAGAGCAGGGACTGCCCCGGGAAAGGGGGGCGCTGTAACAACATACATACATATGTCCACATGTCAAGGAAACAACTGCCGTACGATGGGGCCAGACTGGCCAGAGGGGAGAGAGGGGAGAGATAAAATAGGGATAAAATTGGGCACTGCCGATTCCCCGGGGGCCCTGCGGCCTCTAGCCGTCGTAGCGGGGAGAAGCGGGGGAGGGGGACGAGGTAAAAGGGGTATACAGGAAGAGGGAGATGCCAACAGAACGGAGACGGGAAGTAAGGTGGAGTAGAAAAAGGAAGGGCCGTTGTGTTAGCTTGGCTGCAACCCCTTAGGTACAAACCTTCTCCGCACGCTCCACATCCTCCACCAACTGCTGCCGTACAACCGCCGCTGCCAGCGCTGCCAGACGCGGCACGCCCGCCGCCGCTGCCGTACCCGCGCCTCCTCCGCCGGGGCCTCCCTCCCTGGAGAAAATCGCCTCCAGGTTGGCGGCGGGATGCAGCAGCTCCGCAATTAGCCCGGTGTGGCCGCGAGACGCCGCAACCTGGCGGATTTTACAAAGCGGTTTGGGAACGGTTTAGGTACGCTTTCGGGCGGATGATGTGCGTTTTAGAAACGTTTGGGAGCGTTTGGAGCGTTTTGGTTCTGCTTGTTTTCATTTCACGTAGTTTTGAGTAGTATTTTGAGTAGTATTTTGAGTAGTATTTTGAGTATTGTTGAGGCTCCGAAACCTGGGAAAACGTTTTTCATGGCGGTCTCTTTCCCCCAGGGCTGCTTACGAGGCAGGAGGCAGTGTAGCTTTAGCTTGAATCATGCCTAGCAGCGAGGTAATGACGTTAAAAATGTTATTCTGCTTTCCTCCAAATGTTTTTTCAGAAATGTTTCGAGGTATACTATGAATTAGAGTATATTCTCTGCTCCAGAAGACAACCTCGTCGCTGTTGAAGTCTTCCGAGGTCCTCCCTAAGAAGGCTATAGCAGCAGCAGGAAATTCTTCAGCTTGTGTTACTGCTGAAATCATGTGTCGTACATGTCGTACCCTGTGCGGCGTTCTCCCCAGGGCATCCACCCGTCGTCGAGGGTCTAGGAAGTTGGGGCCAGCAAGGTGGTGTTGCTGCGTTTTGGCGGGTTGGGGGGAGAGGCAGTGGAGGGGGGAAAGGTGGGGGAAGGAAGGGTTTTAGGTGGGAGGACGATGTCGTACAGGGTCAGGGGGAAGAATGATGACAATGAGGAGAAAACCCGCTGCTTAGGGTTTCCTTTCCCTCTTTTATGGCTTTTCCCTCCTTCAAAACCCAGAAACCCTCCCTCTCTTCCCCCCACATCCCCCTCCCACCCCCCGAGCCCGCCTCACGTAGTACTGCAGCATTACGAGAGCGCACGGCAGTTCGTTAAGCATACCCGCCACGTGAAGCGGCGTTGACCGAAGGGGAACGTTGACTAGGTCGTACGCGTAGCCGATCTGCGCAATTTACGGGAAGACATTTATTAAAATAAAGGAAGGGAAAGTTCCCGGGGTGGGTATGCATGAACGCACTTGCGTACTTTGGGGAGGTCGAGACTCGAGGGGGGTTGAGAGCGACATATGAGAGCGACATAAGGCCCCACGCCACTCTCGCACAATGCACCTCCACACAGGTCCAAATTTGTAACGGCTACCCACATACGGAAAAACCGCCAACATATGCATAGACAGACAAGCACAACCGGGGCCCCCCCCAACACACCGACATACAGACACACAGGCATACAGACATACAGACTTTTAGCAAACACATACACACACGCACCGTATTCACGGCCCGGAGGTCTGCTCCCCTCTCCAGAAGCAGCCGTACGGCATCGGCCTGTCGCATCGCCACCGCTGTACGGCAGGGGAGCAAGATGCGGGCCAAAATAAAATCAAAGTAAAATACATATACACATACTTACATACATACCCACACCAGGCCAAGGCCAAGGCCCATTTGAGGCCGTCTTTAATGTGAACCAAATCAATTCGTCCGGACCCATAAGTCGACAGCTGGTTGGTTGCCTATTTTGGCAATGTATTCAATAATATATTTTACCTAAATAGTTGGCAAAATATCTAAGAGTACGAAGTAGGCCAGATGAGAAAGATTCTGGGCATCTAGGCCACATCGGTTCGTTCCACCACCTTCTCCGATATACATACATACATACATACATGCAGATGAGATGCAACACACACGGACTCAGATACCATGCCGCATTACCGACAGAAAGATGGACAGACGGACAGACAGATCATCAGACCGACAGACAGACAAACAGAAAGTTATTCGTACCGTAGTGCAAGGGAGTCAGTCCGGAAATGGATCCCACCTCGATGTACCTGTCGAGGTCCAAGGGGATAATCCGTACATTTATATCTGTACGACGACATCCGTACGATGGAAGGGCACTTCGCAAAAAGTCTTACGGAAACGAGCTGTACAGCAAAAAAAAAGAGTACGGAGCCCTCTCCTCCCTCCCTCCGGTTTCCCCCATATAACACACATGAATACATACATACATAAACACACATGTATACATACATACATACAGACCTGTACAGCTCCGGTGTGTTTTCCCAGACATCCAGAAGCGCGCGGATGCATTCCAAGCGGCCCTGTGCGGGAGGGGAGGGGGAGGGTGGAGGGGGGAGGGGGGAGGATGAGGGGGAGGGGGGAGGGGAGAGGATGAGGGGGAGGGGGGAGGGGGAGGGAGGGTGGAGGGTGAGGGGGGAGAGGGAGGGGGGCTTAAGGAATGTATGCCTGTGGCATTCCTAGTTTTTGTGGCTACTATTGTGTACTAATACTATTGTATTTAACAAAAGCGCTTTGTTGGGTGGATGGCCCTTCCCTGTGGCTGTCCCCTTCTTGCTCCCCCCGGGGGGGGACACCCTCGGTGTGCATGTGTATGTATATCTGTGTTTATGTGTATGTACGTATGCGTGTATGTGCGTTTGCATGTCCGTGTGTATGTATGTACGTATGTACGTGAGTTCGTGCAGCTAAAAAAATGAATAAGGGGATTTCCGAGGTGGCGTACATCTAATCAGGATGTGCACCCCCAACCCCCCCGACCCCCCATGACGAGCATGCTAACGAGCGCTACACGTGGGCCTGGAGGGGGAGGGGGAGGGTACACCCGCGCCACCTAACTTGCTTTCCATTCCCAGCGCCGCTACCGCCTCGACCTGCCGCCCCTCACCCCTCACCCCTCACATATATAAACCCACACGGCACGTGAAAACCCTAAGTCCCCCCCAACACACACACACACACACACCTCGGTCCCACCCCCACCCCTCACCCCGCCCTCCCAGACCCCCCGCACACCCGCATGGCCGAGTAGTGGAGGGCGGTTCTCTTTCCGCAACGGTCTCGAGCCCAGGGATCCGCTCCCTGCGCGTAACCAGATGGCAGGAGTGTGCATGTGTGTGTATATATATGTGTATATGTGTGTGTATATATATGTGTGTGTGTATATATGTGTGTATATATGTGTGTGTATATATGTGTGTGTATATATGTGTGTGTGTATATATGTGTGTGTATGTGCGCGCGTGGGGGAGGGGGTAATGGGTCTCCCTCCCCGCCGTCACCCCCTTTCTCCCTCCCACATCAAGCAGATTCCCCCCCCCCAGAAGAATCCAAGATATTCAAATCTTCAAAAAGAACGTATTCCTCAACTCCCACCTTAATTACGATATCCCACCACAACCCCCTCCATTTTCCCCATCACGCTTTCATTTCCCCCCGACGCCGACCCGACCCCCTTTCCGCCCGCATTTCCGTACCCTGCTCAACAACCACCTAACCGCTGCCACGTGACCGGACTGTGCGGCGTACATCAGGGGCGTCTGGGGGGCCGGGGGAGAGGGGGAGATGTGTTTTGTGCCTTTTTGAGGATGGATGGGCCCGGGAGCAGTAGTTTAAGCAAGTTGGCAGCGGGGGAAGGGCGGGGGAGGGCGCGCCTGGTTAGCCTTGTGATAGCGGTGTTGGCGGCGGCGGTGTACGGTGTTTCTATTATTGCTGTTGTACGACTACTGCATAATCGCCCGTTGGGGAGTTTGTGGTGGGGGTGGTAGTGAGGGAGGGAATGACAATGGTGATGGTGGTGGCGGTGGTGATGTGATGTGATGTGATGTGATGTGATGTGATGTGATGTGATGTGATGTGATGTGATGTGATGTGATGTGATGTGATGTGATGTGATGTGATGTGATGTGATGTGATGTGATGATGATGTGATGATGATGTGATGATGATGTGATGATGAGCTGATGAGCTGATGAGCTGATGAGCTGATGAGCTGATGAGATGATGATGATGATGATGATGATGATGATGATGAGATGATGAGATGATGATGATGATGATGATGATGATGATGATGATGATGATGATGATGATGATGATGATGATGATGATGATGATGATGATGATGATGATGATGATGATGATGATGATGATGATGATGATGAGGAGGAGGAGGACGACGACTCTTTTGGGGGAAGGATGAATTTCAAAATTCAAAACACACAAAACACACAGATGCATTACATACATACAGACTTGCGGTACCTGCACATGATCCTAGGTGTTTCCCCCCTCATCCCCCTCCCCCTCTCCCTCAACACACATACACACACACGTACACACACACAGACACACATATACACACACACCGCGGACACGTCCTCACCTGTCCTCGGTCGTTCCCAAGGTTCAGCAACACCCGCAGGTGCGCTGCTCGTCCTCCTGCTCGTCCTCCTGCTCGTCCCGTGACTGCCGTTGCCCCTACTGCTGTTGCTGCTGGTGTTGTTGGCGCTACTGCCTCCCCCTCCGGGGGGGGACCTGCGTGAGCCGCAAGAGCCTCCAGCACCGCCTCGGTGTCCGCAGCAGCCGCAGCCGCCGCCGCAGTAGCTGGAGAGGAGGAGGGTGGGGCGGAGGAAGACACGGCTACGTGCCAAACCGTGTCACGACCACCTTTTTTGGGGGGAGGGGAAGGGGGGTTATGTCACGGGGAGGAGGGGGCGGAGGCGGCCACTGGAGCCCTAACTTAGCAGGGATTGCAGAGCTGCTGCTTGGGAGAGTGGAGAGGAAGTAGGAGTGGGGGAAGGGGCTGCCATTGCAGCTGCTACTGCTATTGGTGCTGTGCGTTGTTGCTACTGCCGCTGCAATTGTTGCTGCTGCCATCAACTGCCAACTCCCAACCAATACACGGACATCGCATACCAACCTAACGGGCTTCGGTAGCTGAGGAGCTCGGGATCCAGATCCAGTCGGAACTTGATGGCGCGGAGATCTCCTTGTCGTACTGCGTAGTATGTCAAATGGTACGACAACCGGTGTGTTGGACAGTGTCACATGAGGATTGGAGTAGTGAGACGCCGTGCCATGGAAACGCCGTGCAATTCGTTCTGGGTTGTATTTGCGCAGTGTTTCAGGTCTGCGAACGATGTTGGCGCACTCCGTCTGGCAATGCGTACGGCAATATGTTGATTTTCGGTCCAGAACGCACATTTTCGCTCGGAGATGCATGATGGAAACATATGAGATCGATTCGAAATAATATGGATAACAAATTAGAATTTTTAGAGGTAGAGGCGGCCGTTGTGGCCCATGGGTCTTGAGATTTTACGGCAATGCCTAACAGGAATATTCCTCCAACAACCTCACGCACCCGCCTGGAACAACGCGTAGACCGGCCCCGACTCGATACAACTGCTGACGTTTCCACCCATGTCAATTGCGAAGATTCAGATTGGGTTGCACTCCAGTTTGAGCGAATGGACGTGTTGGAGTCCGAGGCAAGCATACAAATTAGGAAGGAATCTGAAATGCCCGTCTGTTTTAGAGGATGCGGATAGCAGAATTCGCTGATCGGAAGACTGAAGCTTTGCGGCTCTGGGGTCAGTGCCCCTTGCATCGACCATTTTATGAATGTGGTTTCATAGCCACAGAGCAGTGAAATTTTTGCAGCATGAATTTTCGTCCTGTCCACATTTGCATCTACCTACTCAACCCTTCCGACATAAAGCATCACTTTAGGTCACTTTTTGAAGCGATCGTACACGCGACCGTTTGGGTGTTGCACGTGTTTGAAAGCTGGAATAGTTCATCTAAAGTTTGTGATAAACGATGGAAAGCCAATCGTTGTGTTGATCCAACTGGATTCCTGGGCTTGCCCTCCCATGTTTGTTAAGTTAAGCGTCTAGAAGCCTCAGCCGCCACGTAGTCAGCTTTCGTGCGGTAACGTGCCGCAAAGGCGGCATGCCTGACAATCAACGTGCTCGGCATCCAGGTAGTGCAAAAATTGAGATGGCCGAGGTCGATCCAGTACCTGCGGAGGCGGCCGCCGGGCACACGGAGCGGAGGGCTAGCAGCGGTGTTGACTCTGCAGCAGATGCAGAGATGGATTTGAAGTCGGAGTCCGGTGTCCTGTCCGAGACCGCAGAGCAGTCACCCAATCCGATTTCTTCGGCGTATATCACAGCCATCGCCCCGCCTGTGCAGCCCCAGGTTGTGCAAAATGCACGCAGCATCAGCAGCAGATCATCACCCTTGCTTCCCATCATTGTTGCCGCAGCCTCTGCCCTGCTCGGCGGGTGGCTGGTGCGGCACCGCATGATGCGCAACCGCCCCACAGCAGCAACGACACCAGCAGCAGCATCGCATCGAAGAAAAACGTCAGGACGCTCTTCTTCTGCCAAGGCGGCGGTCAACGCAGCTGCGGCCGAAGATGCCGCAGCAGCCAACGCAGTTAACGCAAAGCCGGAGCCCGCCGCGCCTCCTCCAGAACCCATTGACCCCGACACTCTCGACATCCTCGTCTGCGGGCCTCCTCCCCCCTCCTCCTCCTCCCCTTCCTCCCCTTCCATCCACACCGCTCGACCAGTCGGAAGCGGCTCGTCTCCACCCCTTCGCGCTGCTGCAGCACCTCTCGCCGGCGTGACTTTTGTGGTTTCGGAGGACGTTGACCTGGCCGGTACCCCCACAACTCTCGGCCTGCGCCGCGACCCACATCCGGAGTCCACCGACACAACCACCACGACCACCGCTACCCCCTCCTCCAGCGCCTCCCCCGACCGGTTCGTCGCTGCCTCTACCTCCGCCCCCGCTTCCAACGGCAGCAGTAGCGCTTCCAGCGGACAGCCGCAGCATGAGGAGGAGATGGTTTCGAAGCACGCTTCTGCCGCTGCCTCTCCCGCACCCGCTTCAGTCAGTTGTTCCGCCGCCACTCGGCTCCAGGCCGCTGGGGCGGTGTGCGTGGGCAAGGCGGCCATGCAGCCACTGGGTTTGGACACATTGGGAGCAAACTTCGGCAATCCGTACAATAAGGCGCAGGTGTCAGGAGGCGGCCAGACGGGTGCGTGTACGGGGCATTTCTTTGGTAGGGGGGTCTAGACGGTGAGTGCGATGAAGGAGTGTAGAAGAAGGCCCCTATCTGATGGGCTGCAGGGAAGGGAGGCTAGGGAGGAAGAGAGATTGGCGGGGAGCGGGGGCCGGGCGGCCGGGCGGGGCCTAGGGGGAAGATGTCAGGGTTGCCGTGGCGTGGGACGGCGTGGGGGTTACGTTCGGGTGCAAGGAAACATGAAGTTAAGGAAGGGCCGGAGGGAAGGCCATAGGGAAGTCGACAAAGTGAACAATGAAGGGATCATTCAAACCAACCCAGAAACTCAATCCAGGAGTACATGTTGCGTATTGGAACACATACACACAGATGGACAGACAGACGGGACGTCACCTTGGTGGGTCGGGAAGCGAGTCGGTGGCTTTGCCGCATGCGCGCGCGTGTGTGTATTTGTGGGGGTGTTCCATTTCAGTTCGGCGGCCTGAGACTGGCCAGGGGCACCTAACCGTACCCCGAAGCACTCTCCTCCTTGTGGGGCATGAGGGGCCACTATCCCCTCCGCCTCGACCGAGGGCGCACACACACACCCCGCGCTCCCCCCTTTTGTCAAGAGGAAAGAGAGGGCGGTGGCTACCAAGGCACTCGAACAACCAGCCTCAGCACGCGCTGGGGCGCACTGTTTGTGTGACTTAGTGTGTGTGTGTGACTTTGTGTGTGTGACTTAGTGTGTGTGTGTGACTTTGTGTGTGTGACTTTGTGTGTGTGTGTGTGTGTGCGCGTGCGGATCACATACGCGACATCATTTTCAGTTTTCATTTACGCATCATTACGTAATCAATCCCAACAAACGTTCCCTCCTTACAACTCCTTCCCAAGGTATGTCGACGATGATACCTGTCAGGTCGCAAATACTGCCCAATTCTACAAAATCCAATTCTTAAACTCCAATTTTTCAAATTCAAATATCCGCAGGATCCGCTGCAGCCATCGCCACGGGCTCCACGCAGCTCGCCCTGACCTCGGACCTCCTGGGCAGTGCTCGCATCCCCGCGGCCTGTTGCGGCGTCTACTGCTACCGGTCGACTCCCGGGGCACTGGGACACGCCAGCCAGGCGGCGGCGGCGGCGGTGAAAGCAGCCGCGGCAGGGGCTGGCGGCACCACCACATGCAGCAGTAGCAGCAGCGGCGGCGGTGGCGCTGGAGTAGGCAGCGGAGGCAGTACTGGTGGTGGAAGCGGCGGCGGCGGCGGCGGTAGTGGTGGTGGTGTATTGGAGGGAGGGGAGGCTCTGGCGGTGATGGCGGCGGATGCTGCCGTGTTGATGAAGGCGGCGCAGGTGCTGGAGGTGCCCGGTGAGTGGAGGAAGGGAGGCGGGGGGGGGAGGAGTTGGCGGAAGGGGGCGGGAGGAGTTGGCGGAAGGGGGCGGAGTTGACGCGATGACCTGTGTAAGCAGGTGAGACAGCAAGGGGGTAGGACGGAATAGAGGCGGGGAGAGTCTCTTTGAACTATCTTGACGCCTCTCCCCCAGCCCAGCTCTCCACACAATCAGGTTTCCTCGCTCCCCTCCGCCTCGCAATTGGTCTCCTTGATACCGCATGTAACTCTGCCCCGCCCCGTCCCACACTGCTCTGCCCACTCCCCCTTGCTTCTGCTCCCCTTGCTTCTCCACCCGTCCGCACGCAGGCTCCTTCAACTTGCGCGGTGAGCTGATTCGGTTCGTGGTGGCTGAGGACCTGTTTGCTCTGTGCGCGGTGGAGTACCAGCCGGCAGCTCTGGCGATCAAGAGGGCCATTCTGAAGTGGGCGGGACCCGAGCAGGCGGGGGCGGTGCAGCTGTGCCAGTGAGTATGTGTGCGTCTCCGTATATATATCCGTCCGTCTGTTGTTTGCTCTGCCATCTGTGTGTCTCTCTCGCGTTGCTTTCGGTTGAGCTTCGTAATATCGGTGTAATGTGGTGTTTACGTGTGTGTATTGGTGTGCGGTGGATGGGTTGTTGATGTGGATGAGTGGGGGGTTGCCGGGGACGAGCGGGTGGGTGGGTGGGGCCTTATGGTAAAATGGGGGGGTACGACGCGGGGTAGGGTGTAGCGCAGTTACTTGAGAAGTATTGCCCTACTCGCAAACTGACAGACTGACATACGCACGCACGCACGCACTTGGCACGCGCAGCTTTTTGGCGGAGAACACCCCTGGCTGGCAGTCCTTCGCGTCGGATGAGCTGCTGGCGGATGTGGGAGGGCTCCCGTCGGGACTGGCGGCGTGGGGCAGTGCGGGCAGAGTACTGCAGGCGGCGCACGTGAACGCGCGACTGCCGGCACCGCAGACGCCGCCAGCGGAGGAGCCGAGCGCCGATGTGGGGAAGGCGGCAGAGGAGGCGGAGGCAAATGTGGCTGTGGATAATGGTGCGGAAGCGACGGAGGCAAAGGTGGAGGCTGACGAAGGTGGTGGCAGTGGTGGCAGCCTGGGGGGAGCAGCGACGGAGGGGTCGGAGGCGGGTGCTGTGAAAGAGGAGGAGGACAGAGGGGCGGAGGTGACGGACTTGAAGAAAAGGGGCGCGGAGGGAGTCGGCAGCGCCGCTGCAATGGCAGGGGCGGCGGCGGCGGCGACTGAGCGGGGAGGTGCAATGCAGCACGCAGTCGCGCCGCCTGTGCCAGAATCGGAGCGTCTGGCGGCGGCACGCGAGGTGGCGCGTCAGCTGCACGAAACTCTTCGGCACACCGTCAAGCCCGATACCGTAATCGTACTGCCCGTCGTACCGACAGCGCCGCCGAAGCGGCGCTGTGCCGCCGTCGACGCTGACGTCAATCTTGTACGGGAGGCACGTGCATGGGAGGCGTTGACCCACTGCTTTAATTGCCTGGGATCTTTGGCGCAGTGCCCTGTGGTGGTGGTGCCGCTGGGTACGGTCGCTGACGGCACGCCGCTTGCCGCCGCGCTGATGGGCTGTGCACGTTTCGATGCGCGGTTGCTGGCGGTGGCTGCTAAGATGGGCCCTATCATGCAAGAGGCCTTCGAGGGCGTCAAACAGGGCTTGCTGA